TTGTAAAATAGTTTTTTTATATGTTGCACACCGGGTGAAAAGTCAGTCGTGTAACATCGACGGTCGCTCCTGTACTATACGTAGGCATGCCAATCACGTGATATTTGTTGTGTTGCACAAATATGCAAAGTGACGTTTTTGATAATCTGATCAATATGCAGACAATTATAATAACAGGCCAACTATTTTACAGATAAACAAAGTCTCTGTTTAAATGACTAACGAACTTATGTCGTTTAATAGTTTAGTTGGTAAGGAATGTTTACTGTGCACTTGAAACCAAAAATTTATAACACATGATTTTTTTTTCTAGACGAAAAAATTTCTTCTTATTTCCAAGACACGCCATCTTTGCTATGGTCATATGATCACTTCCTCGAAGTAATGAGACCTCTGATCATTAAGGAAATTTGTTCTGCTGAACTTTCTTCTATTTGGCGAAAACGGTGGTTAAAAATGCTTAAGGCATTAAAAGAGAAAGAAGATGATGAAGCACTTTGCAAACTTCTGACATTGTTATCTAATCAGGTAAAACTGTTTACTGGTCTTTTTTGTCTTTTTTTGTCTTTTTTTTTGGCAGTTAAGCGCAGCTCAGAAGGGGTGTCGTTCCTCTACTCTTGCAAGAGAGTCGCCTTCGAAGGGGTGCCGTTCCTCTTGGGGTTGCTGAGCCATGGGGTGCCGTTCCTCGCGCGTTGCACGCCCTGGAAGGGGTGCCGTTCCTCTGTTCTTGTAGACGATTCTTATGGGGGTGCCGTTCCTCCTTGGATTCCCAGTGTGTTGTGCAACAAAACTGTGACAAATAAAAAATATTTTAGATAAAGAAAGACTAATCAACTTTTTTTGTCAAGAAACAAACCGTTTCGACTACAAAATTCTGGAAGAAAGTGACGCAGGAAAAAAATCAATTAAATGCGGAAGAAAAACTTCGACATAGAAGGGTTCGTAGTATAGATGGGGTGAAATCATCTTAATAAAAAATATTGACAAATTTGTTAATTTTCTGTTATAGTCTGTTTTTAAGGTCAATTCCCAAGTAGATGCATTGGACGTATTAGAGGCTGCACGAACACAGCAAACAGTTCTATTAACTAGTGAACTCGGAACTGTACAAGAGCAAGAACAAAATACTTCGGAGGTAATTCAAGCAAATGAGGTAATTAGTATATGCAGTATTTGCTACTTTATTAGAGATGGCATCATACACCTCATCAGTATCACTGCAAGATGCTTAATCGTCACATATATTATTCATTTCTATAAGAACGACCCCGGAACATCCGAACCTTCTGTTTTATTGCTGCTTCGTGAAAAGAGGAAGAGAGACGGTGATGTAAATGTTTGCAATGTTCAAGTTTAATCAAAGTGTTTATTATAAAGTTTGGACCTGGCTTTATTTTTCGTGTTAAATCCGATTAAAATCGGCTCCAAACTTTAGTATATTGTTATGGTTTTATCGCATTTTTGTTGTTTCACAGGAGGAAGTCCTCATGGACATTCTTGGAAATGATTTGGAGTGTTCCGATCCTATGAGTATAATTTGCCTTGAGCATATCAGAAATCATCCTAATGTTGACGTAGTCGACTTACGAATGAAATCCAAATTCTTTAAGCAACTCTCGATCGAAACTGCCGAAGATTACCATCATGATATGGAAGCTGAAACAGATACATTGATTCCAGATAATGTTCACAATTTTCTTGTCAATTTTTTTTCGCAAGAGTTATCAGAGGTAGAATGGCTAAATAAAATCGACGATTTGCAATGTCCGAACAATGACGACAAACTATTGGTCGCAATGACAAGGATAATTCGAAGAACGCTACCACAATTGTAAGTATAATTTTAATAACTTTTTTAGTTTAAAAAAAAATATTTTATTCTATATTTTGCTTTTGTAGTGTAAAAGCGTTCTCTCTTGGAGCATTCAATCCATTATTGGATATAACAACAATTGAAAGACCACACCTAAATGCATATGTTCATCCGTGCTTGGAAGCAACTTTATGGAACGTCGCTCGAATCAATTATGAATTTGGGGAAATTCCCAGTAGGAATCATGTGAAAAGGGAATGCGCCGATGGCGTTGGATATATTACTGGCGCTGATAAGTTTCAGTTAGTATACGTTGAAGGGTCAAAACCGATGGCGAGGGAGGATAAGGAAGTCGCAGATGCCGAAAAAATTTCTAAAAATTTAAAAAAGATTTTCTCAAAAATTGTGATTGAAACTATAAAGAACCGAAGACGTCTCCCGGAAGATCTGGCTGTTTTTGGGGGACAGAGCTTCCGGCTCCGGATACACTTGTTTTACTTAAACTATTGTGGTATATTTTAAAGTTTATTAAATACTTACATTCACGATTGATACAAATTTTTATTTTGTAACTATAGGTAAATATTGTCTTCATGAAGTCGACAATTCAAATCTACCTCGTGATTTTTCAGAAATGGCCGATTTTGTATGTTTTTATGAAAGCATAATTAAGTGGGCGGTATGTACAGTTTTGATATAGCTTCATTTTTAGATTGCACGTATTAAATAACTTTATTATATATAAATATATAGTTACTCATTGATAAGATGGTAATAGGATTTAAAAATGCAAGGTACGAAAAAAGACCGTCAAGATTATCGTACGCAAGGTACATTAGTTTGTTAGATGGAGAAAATCTAAATGTTGATGAACAAAAGGCTTAATACAGTAATTTCAGCTCACGATTAATAAGAGTCCAATTTAGGCCCAAATTATGAAGAAATGAATGAGTTTTAGCAGCAATTAAATAGTTAATATTGTTTTTATGACTATATAATAAAGTTTGAATTCATTGACGTTGAAGAAATTGACTTGCTATCAGTGTTTATAAAATTTCGAAACTTTAATGCATACGTGGTTATTATATGATCGAATTAATAGTCTTAAAGATCAACATGTGATCCCGCATTTGGTATATAGTAATTTATATGTGTCACGTGGTTTTCAATTTAGTACGTGCGTAATCGACCTCTAAATTTGGAAATTTGACAAACAGGGTTTTTAATATTATTTTGGATGTTCATTTCATATGGATATTTATAGCAAATTGATAAGTTAATGAGCTAATGAATTCTACAAATGAAGCACCAAAATGTCCAGGTAGACCGTCCCAAATTAGGAAATCATCGGAAAAACGTTACACAATTCATTAAAGATTATTTATACAGTTTACAATACT